GCTTCCTGGTGACAGGACAGGTTTTTGTCACAGCTAGCCCATTTGCACAGGAGCTACTTGTGGAGAATAGAAACGTGATTTCATTTACCCATGCTTCTGTTACAGAAATCCTCACAAATGAGATAAAGAAATACCTGCCCAACCTTTTTCTTTTTCTTTTCACTACCGCCATGGACTCTTGTTCTGTCTTTATTTCTACATTTCAAGAGTCTCACAGTGCTGCCAAAGATTGCGTCCACATGAGGGTCTTTGCTGACTGAATAACAAGTGGTACACTTGCTGCTATGTTTCACAGATACAATTGATTACCGATCTGCTTTGCCTTGTACATGTACATATCTATATTATGCTAAGAAATCTTAGCTGCATTTTATCAGCTTGTATTTTACTATAAGGAAAATCCTTCTTTACCTTTTATGTTATTCATTGCATTATGGTATGATATTCCACTCTCTGTGACTGTCACACTTAGGGAAGTTCAGCAGATTACTCAGCTCACCAACTGTGAAAATGCTTACTTTTGCAGTTTTGTCGGTTTATAGGAAAACATGCAACTTTTGTTAAAACTCAGGCTGTGACACCACATCAGTCAGGGAACATATTTGTTTCTATTGAACAAAATTGCCAGGAAATAACACATAACACTGACTGATTTGAAATTATGACAGTATTATATTAAGTCTGTAACCGAAATAATCATTGATAGGACACTCAATGCTGCATTCATGTATAGCTATAATATGATACCTGAGAATCAGACAAGAAATCCATGCTTCTATTTTGTTTTCACATTTGCAGTCATGAATCTGTAAATATTTGAATTTACCATTTTATGTGGTTGGCTTCAATGTCACTCAATATACCTAATGATAGGTACATTTAACTTATTATAACTAATGGCTTTTGAAGCACAGGAAATGTTAACTGTGTATGTCTATCCATCACATTTTGACACCTAAATGCATCACTTGAAAATTCATGTTTATGCTACTGATTTGCTGTCCCACAAATACTTCAACATTTATTATTCTGCTGTGTGGGGGACCTCAGCTGGACTGAGGCTATTGGACAGAGTGACTTTGACCTTGAGAAGATTCCAGTCTACCCTTGAGAGAATAAACAGGAACAAGAAGAGCCGCAACGTAAACAAGTTTGTTGAAAGTGCTGACAGCAAACTGAGGGGTATGTGTTCCTTTGGCGGAAGTGCTGAGTTGTGATGAACTGTGAAAATATTATCCAATAAAAAGAAACATAGTAACTTTGAACCAATGAAGAAGACACATCGAGAGAGAGAGAGTATAAATAGACGAGGAAGCAAAACAATAAAAAGGTTTTTTTGTGCTGCGCCAACTCTTGTTGCTTTGTCTGTCCCTACGGCGACACTGCTGCATTGGACATCTTTCCATAATTGTTCCTGTACGTGTGTTCCGTTGCATATGGAGCTCAAAGCAAGTTGATCAAAAATCTTAATATTTGCTTTATATTTTTATACAAGCTGAAAGGTGAAGAAAAAAAAGATTACTCTCATTTTTACTGTGCTCTATCCTGGCTTACTGATGGACCACAGATCTGAACTTATAGTTAATATATTGTATTCATGTGACCAGGAGTCATACTGGAAAAGGACTTCATTCCAAAAAAAGAATTCCAAAATAGGTGTACGTGCCAATAGCTTAACATTAAGGACTGCTGCCTCCCTGCGTGGACTCCAGTGGCATTCACTCCACACCAGCAAGACGAGTTCCCACAGGGAGATAAGCTTCCCACATAAGCTCATTCGGTAACTACTCCGGCACACCTCTTTGAATCCTGGCTGTATTTAGCCAGTGCGATGTGCAAGGTGGTGCAAATACAAGTGTTGGTTCTCTAAGGAGTAGGTATGAAGTGCAAGTGCAACCTTTAGCCAGGCTATTTCATTTGTAATAACTTCTGTTTTTGCAGGTATTTTTGTGACTACTTGATTTTGGGCATGTCACACAATGAACACCACATGTTGCTTGTGCGAATGTGTGTTTTAGCTACCTCTGCAGTTACTTCTTTGGAATTGCTCAGATGTGGTATCTACAGACATTGCTCTGCAGTGGTGACATTCAAAGATCTTCCATAAAGCGCATTAGTTTGATTCCTGCTAATAAAGGTCCACCTTAGATTTGTCGGCATTCTTGTTTCCTGAGACACTGAAGATAATATCCATTTAGCAATTATAGGATTGTTGTGTATTTATCTATGTTCTTTGTTACTTCACATGGATAAGCCAACATCTCAGTGCACCAAACTTAAATCTGGTTATAGCAGGAAGGATGTTTTCACAGAATCACAGAATCACAGAACGTTAGGGATTGGAAGGGACCTCAAAAGATCATCTAGTCCAATCCCCCTGCCGGAGCAGGAACGCCTAGATGAGGTTGCACAGGAAGGCGTCCAGGCGGGGTTTGAATGTCTCCAGAGAAGGAGACTCCACAACCTCTCTGGGCAGCCTGTTCCAGTGCTCTGTCACCCTCACTGAGAAGAAGTTTCTTCTCAAATTTAAGTGGAACCTCCTGTGTTCCAGCTTGTGCCCATTACCTCTTGTCCTATCATTGTTTGTCACCGAGAAGAGCCTGGCTCCATCCTCGTGACACTCACCCTTTAAATATTTATAAACATGAATGAGGTCTCCCCTCAGTCTCCTCTTCTGCAAACTAAAGAGACCCAGCTCCCTCAGCCGCTCCTCATAAGGGAGATGCTCCACTCCCTTGATCATCTTTGTAGCCCTACGCTGGACTCTCTCCAGCAGTTCCCTGTCCTTCTTGAACTGAGGGGCCCAGAACTGGACACAAATGTGGCTGCTATACTGATAAGTATGCTCTGGATCATGATTTTGGATTCGTGGCTCCTGTCACACTCATTCTCTATTCAAGGACATGCTGCTCTCTCTCTATATATTTTTAGCAACTTGCTGAAGGGCTCCTTTTGTCCATTACTAGCCAAAATCAATGTGATCAGCACAGTGACCTGTACCAGCAAATTCACTACCAACTACTCCCAAGCCAGTATACACAGAACTCATGCATCCTCTGCGCTGTGTCTCAGATACTTGTATGCAGACCAAATCATTGCAACTTCAAAATGGAGTATGAATTTTATACTGATGTGATAAATTATTTAGGCTTAAACAGTGACTCCCCGTCGGGGGATAGAACCCCGGTCTCCCGCATGGCAGGCAGAGATACTCACCACTACACTAACGAGGAATCCAATTAAAGTTTCTTAAGTGAGTAAAGGCAAGCAAACAGCGCTGGGTGCGTGGGGACACAATCGGGTCCATCTGACACGCACGCCGTACAGTTCGCTTTTCAGGTTTATATTTCTTTAACTAGTACATATTCATAGAATTTCGCAATACGCTTATACATATGCATGACCTATCCCCGCTTTATATTATAATTTGCTCTCCTCCCATTCGCGCCTGCGCAGTGTCCCCTGCTGGCGTCTTGAGGGGGGGTCGCAAAGCTGTTTTTTTTCTTTTTCTTCACCTTTGTTAAGCTTTCTTCCTTGCACAGACTTAGTTACTTCTTGGCTCTTGCTCAAACCACAAGACTGGTATTGTCTCTTATCTGAAGAGGGTTCAGATAAGTGTCTCCTTTCTGGCGCGTTATGGGTCTTATACAACTATACACTCTGTTATACTTCTCGATCTGTTCTCTGTGCAAGGACAGCCAAAATAGTCACAGAGGTCGCATCTTCCCCATTTTCTTCACATTATTTTAACACGAATCAGACTGACACATCTCACACTGATATACTGAAATTAAGCCTCCTTTAAAGAGTTACCGTCAAAAAATACTCCATCTTGCTTTATTTGGTACATCTTTAGGTTGTGAATCTGATAAAAATGTTTGCATTTTTCTGAGCTAAGTGGTCTACTGGCATTTCTGAAATATTTTATGTAGCTACAGATGAAATCCTGATCAGACTGAGCAAATAAGATAAAGCCAATACATGCAAACTGAGCAGTGACCCAGAGGAACATGGAGGCAGTAACAAACACTAAACTAGGAAAAATGTAAGCTAGAAAAATACCTGGAAAAGACAATGTCAACTCACAAAAGACTTTGATAACACGCTGAAAACACATCTGAGGATATGACACCATTCTTCTGCTTCTAAAATTTTACAAAGCTCAACTGAGAAGGCCAGAACAGCCATATGCTGGCAAAGTGGCAGACGTACAAGATGACAGATCTGTCTCTAATGCCAGTAAGTAAGTTTTTCAAGACAGCAGTAATCTCTGTCTTGCAGCAGCACTGAGACATTGCCATCACAAACTGCATACACAAATAAAAGGGGAAAAAAAAGTTCTAAAAACTTGTAAAAATACCATTTGTGCTCCTATAATGTCACTTAGAAAAAAATGTACAAGCAAGATGTTTCAGAAACCGTTGTTGCTAGTACATTACATAACAGAAGCTGGACCAAACTGCTGTGTTGTTGGTTTTGGTGTTTTTGGTGGTTTGTTGTTGTTGGGTTTTTTTTGTTTGGGTTTTTGTTTTTGTTTTTATCGGATAGCCAATGGGAAAGCCCTGTGGAGGCTCTCCTGATATTTCTGCACCTCTAAAGCAGCACTACACACCTCACCATGGGTGAGGGCGAAGCTACCTACTTCTCTGTAGCCTTGCCGGAAGGGCGGGGAAGGAGCCGAGGCTCTTATAACTTCCGCCGCCCCCCGGTAGCGTTTCCGGCTAAGCGACGGCGGAGAAGAGCCTGCGCGGGTAGTGTGAGGCAGGAAGGGGAGAGAGGGGTGGCTGGAGAACTGTTAGGGAGCTGTTGCGGAGGGGCTGCGATGGGTAGGGGGACTGCCTAGCGCCCCTCCGCGCAGTAGGAGTGTGAGCCCAGCCCCGAGCGCGATGGCCCTAGCTGGCAGGGCGGCGACGTGGTGTGCCCGCCTGCAGAGCCCTTTCCCTGCTGCCGCCTCGCTCTGCCTTCTGGCCCGGCCGCCCGCGGGGCCCGGCCTGTGCGAGAGGCGGTACAGCTCCCGCGGCAAGGTGAGTCCGCGGGGCTGCCCGGTAGCCATGGGGTGCGTTTGCTGTCTTTTTGTCTGGCCCGGAACTGCCTTGTGTAGCCCGTGAAAGAAACATGAGCTGTGCGTTTCTCTCAAATTAGCTACCACAGTTTTTCAGTAAAGTGTTACTGCATGCTATTAGGGATCTTCTGGTTCCTGATGCTGAAAGCTGCGGGAAGCAAAAAAGCCACTTCTCTTCAAAATGTCCTATTACTTAGAATGAGCAGGAATAACACACACAAAAAAGTTTTTTAGTGTTGGATGCTTCTGTATGTGAACTAAGGAAGGTTTTCTGCGTTTTTTAATCAAGTCAAGATAACTGTTACCTGTAGCTTCCTTTTCCACAAAGTATGCTTGCTTCTTTTGATAAGGTCACTGCTACCTGAGCTACTAGGTAATATTCCTGTATTTTTTTTGTGCTTGTGGAGAATGATGTCCGTAATGGTCCCTTGAATCCAGTTTTCTTTATCCTTAAGCTTAGTAGTTTAACAAACTTGAAACTGTTTGGAGTTTTCTAACTCTGTGTATTTGTAAGAACAGTGCCATTCACAACACTTTCCAGCATACTTACTGATTATTCAGAGTAATAAATATATATGACTAAAACGAAATACTAGCATTTTAAACACTGATGACAAGTTTTTGTATTTCTGTTTGATCCATGCCTCTTCTGGAGAAGAGAGTTTTTTAAAGGCCAGGTCTCATTATATGTAAAGACTGTAACCCTAGTTTATGTAAACAAATTTCTGTTTTTCAGGAAAAATTAGATATGTCAGCGTATCCTGTTGAAAGCATTAGAAACTTCAGTATTATAGCTCATGTAGATCATGGCAAAAGTACACTAGCAGACAGATTGTTGGAAATTACAGGTAAGTGTTCTCATTTTATACTGCCTTTTCTTGACGTGTACATTTCTGTAGCTTTGATTATTACTAAAATTTCTAATATCTTTGCTCTTCTAGTGCCAGGTTGCTTGTTCTTTTAGATTGCCAGTTGTGTAGTGTTACAGATGTGAATATGATCAGCTTTCTGGTAGAGATCCGCCTACAGGTAGCAGTAAGGAAGCGTGTGTTTTGGAAGCAGACTGAAAAGGAGTGTGTACTTCCTTGTTCAAGATGCTACTCCTGTCATTCCTGACCAATTGTTCTTTAGACCAGTGCACAGCAAGTTTATGATGTTTATTGCCAGTGTTTGGGGTAGACAGAAGGGGACTGTCATGACCTAGGAATTCTGTACAGATTAGTTTTTGAAAGCACCATTGAAACATGGAGGAACTCTAGCTGCTTGTGCTTAAATGAAAGTAATGATATGTCCTTGTGAGCAAACCATAAGCAGCTGTCTTTCGTGGTGGTGTGAAGCTCACTGGTACTGAAGCAGATACGGTGCTTCATAGTAAGTTTTAGAAATGTTGATTTAGTGTGTAGAATAACTGCTTGTAGGTGAGTGTAATTCCATAGATTCTCAGCTGCTATATAGACTTGCTTTTTCCTTCACTCTTAAGTATTGGTGAAGTTGTGTTACTTTCCTCTTTAGAGGTTTTTGTTTTGCCCTCATTGTAGTGCTTCTTGGATGTCAGTGTTTTTATTTCTGTGGTGGTGTTGAGGATAAGGAAGACTCACCCCTCCTTTAAAGTGAAAGTGAGAAGCAGAAGCACTAAGGGATCTTCATAACTGTGACTCTGAAACTAGGCTTTCCTTGGGAGAGGCAGAGGTTGCCTTAGAGCTATGCTGTAAAGCAATTGCCATATCTCTTAAGAGGAGCCTAATTTCAGAGCAAATTAGCTACTTGGAAATACTCTTTGGAAGAGTCTTGCTTTTCACATTTAAGGACTGAGAAAACAAAACCTAGGAGAGAAGTTTTTGAGCAAAGTTATTCTTTATGATTACCTCTTACCTGTTGCTATGGGCAATTTTACCTAATGCCTGTGATAGAATGGAGTTTTGAATTCAGGTCTGTCAAGCTTCATGATAATGTTTTTTTCACAATTGAGACTGGCCCTGGTTAGAGCCATGGAGCTGCTCTCCAGTGATAGGAGAAGTTTCTTTAAGCACCAAAATTTTTGCTACTTCTTAATCTCTAGTTTAGACTTACATTATGTTTTGTATCCTGCTTATTTAACAAATGTTAAGAGTTGAAGTATAAGAATTTAATTTAAAAAGAAAATAAGTTTAGCTTAATCAGGTGGAAAAGCTTCATTTGCGGCTGCAAGTCCTATGTTCTCTTGGCTAATGGCATTTTCAGGAATTATTTCTTTTGAGAGCTAATGTACTAAATGAGGTAATAGAGCTGTATTTTTTATATCTTAGGAACAATTTCTAAAACTGACCGTAATAAACAAGTGCTGGATAAACTGCAAGTGGAACGTGAAAGAGGAATTACAGTTAAAGCACAATCCGCGTCTCTCTTTTACAGTCATGAAGGAGTAAACTACCTCTTAAATCTTATCGACACGCCAGTAAGTTAAGTATAAACAGTGTTTAAATTACACAAAGCTAAATGCCTTTATATTTAAAAGTAGGAGATTTCTGGATTCTTGTGTTTATTCAGTTTGTTTGGTAAGAATTGTGTTTTAGATAAGCATTTATACAAATGAAAAAATTATAATCTAGGAGTCTTTGCAAAGGACTCTAGAAATACCTGAAATTGTAAATGTTTATTTTCTCCACAGGGCCACGTAGATTTCAGCTATGAAGTGTCACGGTCACTGTCTGCTTGTCAAGGTGTCATACTTGTAGTGGATGCAAATGAGGTAGAGCTCTTAATTCTTGTGTTCTCCTTAGAATTTCAGCAATTTCTTTAAGAAAGCTGAAGAGAAGATTAGGTTTTTTAGTTTTTCCATCAGTGTTTTTGCCCCAGTCTGTCTCCGCAAAAGTATTACATTGCAGAACAAGAGTAATGGGAGTTATAAAAAAAACTAGAGACCAATACTTGTATATTGATAGTGCAGTTCCATTCATAGAAATAAAAGCACAGGATTAGTGAAGTGTCAGATCCTATTTTGTACAGAGTATGAACTTTGCAAATGGCAATGTGGATAATTTTAGCTATCATACTAATACCCATTTGAGTACCTTCAATTTCGTGTTGGAAAGTGTGATGATTCATTCAACTTAGCTATAATTAATTAATTACAGTCATGTTTTTGGTTGTCAGTTATTCAAACTAATACTGGAAATGTGAAAGCTAAAGGACACTATAAGCTGAATGTGAATAAACTTATTCTGGAAACTTGAAGTTTTATATCCACTAGATTAATAGGTTCTTGACTGATGTTTCAGGAGAGTGAGGGAGAAGAGTGTTTGTAAGGTGATACTCTCATAAATTTATAGTCAAAATCTATACTAGGAGGGAAGGGAAATTAGAGATCTTAGTTGTACTTTTCGTTGTACAGTGCTAGGAACATTTTGAAGAATCATTTAAAAGACTAGACTGGATTATGGTAACATTATTTTAAATATGGAACTTTTCACAAAGTATTTTGATAATTTGTGACATTTATGATTGGATTGTACAAGTGTCAAATGAATGCTGCTTTTTTCCTTGTTATATGAAAAAAAAAATCTAGCTTTCTTTCAATGATTATTAACACTTGTTCCTTCCTAGCTTGGTGGGCAGGTAGACTTATTAAGCTTCAGTAATAATTATGTTTTCTAAATGTGTTTTTGTATTGATGTTTTTATATTTAAGGTATATATATTTTTAAAGCCATATTTAAATATTAAGTGACTATTTGGAATTCTCTATTTGTCTTTTAGTCAGAGTGCTCACAAACTCAACTGTTTCATTATGGTTGCTAATGTTTCTCCTATCAGCCTGAATTCAGGTGGTAATTTTCAAAGTTTAGGTCTTGCATACTTCTCTTTTTTTTCTTCTCCTCTTTTTTTTTTTTGCTTCTTTATGTTGCCTAAAATGTTAGGCCTATATATCCATAGTGAATATCCTCATATAAATAATGTTCCACTTGATCTGCTGTAAACAATGGGGAATAGAAGAAGTAGCTTCTCTTTTTTTTTTCCCTCTATTTCCCTTTCACCCACTTCTTCCCCCTGTGCTCTGATTGTCATGTTAGGTTTTATAGTCTCATTCCTTAGCATCTCTGTCTCTCTCTCTGTTTTTCCTTGTCTGATACTTCGACCTTGAACATAATCTTCCTTTTGCTTCTAAGCAGAGCTGTTCTCTTGCCATTCTTTTGAAAGAAATGTGAGGTACAAACCTTATAATTTTTCTTTTTTGAAAATAGCTGTAAGATAAGTTGAAAGTACAGTCCTGCCTTCTTTAGTAAGCACAGTCTTATTACCATGATAAACATCCCTTTTCCTTTGTGTTAGTCCATTTGTGAATAGTTTGTGGTGGACAAAAATCTGTTTTTTGAGGTACCTGTTATGATCTTGGTTATTCAGAAATAACAAATACAAAAATAGGTACTTGATGCATAATGTATGCATAATAACTGTGTTATTTATAGATAATTGCATGTATGTGATGATAACATACAGTGTTATTAGTTTGCTTATATTCAGATGATGAGAAATGATACTTAGTAATGTTTTTTTTCTTTTTTCAGTGATGTGTATAATCAATAACTTATTTTCAGTCCCCCAGATGAAGGAGTGGATATAATAGCAAAGTAATCTTATATTGTATAGTAAGTCTTAAAAAAATAATCAAAAAAACCCCAAAACAAACCAGGAAGATTTCCATGTTAAATTTTTTAATTCTTATTTTCTAGGGTATTCAAGCTCAGACAGTGGCAAACTTCTACCTTGCTTTTGAAGCACAGCTTGCAGTAATTCCTGTCATAAATAAGGTAACAGGTTTCATACTAAATAGTTGATTTTTTAAAATATATATAAGATTTATAAGAAATGTATCCTCAAATATAAATACAAAGAATACAAAATTGCTAGAATATAATAAGGACTTTGTGTTTTACTCAGATACATAAAAGTTCCTTGACTTGTATATTTGGAAACCTGGGTTGGCTCATATGCAAGATGTGATTGCTTGTATATTTGATAGTTTGTTGTTTTTCAGATTGACTTGAAGAATGCAGACCCTGAAAGAGTTGAAAAGCAAATTGAGAAGCTGTTTGATATCCCTATAGATGAGTGTGTAAGGGTAAGATCTCTTGAAGTTTTAGAATATCGCTGATTGTATATCTGTATCTACTTTGTAGCTAATGAAAGACATCTACATGTAGTAAATAAACAGGTTGACATCTGTCTGCCTGTCTTTGTTTGACATGCATGAATTAAAGATTGTTTCATGGAAGATTCCAGTATGTCTTGACGAATGGCATCAGATAGATTTTAGATTATTTATCATTGTAGGTCTGTAAATTTTTTTCACTTTTACTGTAACAAGAATTGCTATTCAGGAGAGAAAAAAAATGTTATATAATAATTTATAATCAGATAAGCATTTCATATTAATAAGCATTCTAAAGTGTGCTTCAGAGTGTTTTTATGTGTAGTATTATCTGTCGCCACCAAAACCCTAAGTGAATGTGACGTTGTTTAAGAGATAATGAGTAAGACACATGTCTTATAAAATTGTTGTTGAACCTGTTTTAGATTTCAGCTAAACAAGGAACAAGTGTTGAAAAAGTTCTTCACAAGGTCATTGAGAAGATTCCACCGTAAGTTCTGTACTTAGTTATGAATCCTTGCAAGGTTAATTAGGAAATCACTAATTTTGCACTTAATTGTTGTCTGATTTAAAGTCAATGCTTTATAAAGAGATGTTTGAGAAATCTAATGTTTGAGCTGGTTAAGTCAGTTTCAAATTGCAAATAGAAAAAGTGACACTTCAGATTTGAGATGCCTTTTAAAAATGAATGTGTGAATGTCAGCAGTGAAGACTTCTTTCATTTCATACTGAATTAATTTTCCTCTCCCACTTCTTAAGAATAAAGATGAGAGGTAAGCCACTAAAGGTAATACCTCTATGAATGTATATTATATTGGTATCATGAAACTTAGTGTTTGAGGAATGCATGCCATCACTATGTGTGCCATGACTCCTTTTGAACACTGCATTGTTGAAATAATGAATGTAGTTAAAATCTTCTGTGTTTAGAGTTTTGATATCCTGAGCTCAGCCTTTAAAACAGACTTATCTGGGAACTGATGACAAAGCTGCTGAATTGCAGTTCTGTTTCAATCAGCATATTGCAATTCAGTCTTTTTTCCTACTATTAGCTAATAATTGTCCTCATATTAGGACTAGAAACCAATGAAAATTCAATATTGGGTTTCTACGAAAGATGGCAAAACCTGAGTTTCAGTGGACTTTTTTTGGTTTTTCACCCAAAATTTCAGCTGTTGGGATTTTTGTTTCCCCCCGTAATATGATATTCTAAGCATCAGTTTCACCTGTTGTGAAATGGGTGTGATAAATATGCATTTGGTTTTGTTTCACCCTATTGCACATGGGGGAAAAATGTAAAGATTTCCTGCATAATAGTGAAACACTGAAATGTATGTGTTTGTTTACTGAAAATTACTCAGTAGTTTTATCTATTTTAATATGGCAGGTTTTGAGTTGGGGGTGCTTGCTCATTTGTTATTGAATGAGAATATACTGTTGTAAATTTTTTTGGGACAGACCCCAGTGTAACACTGCTGATCCACTGAAAGCCTTAGTATTTGACTCCATGTTTGACCACTACCGAGGCGTCATAGCTAACATTGCACTCTTTGGTGGGGAAATTCAGAAAGGGCATAAAATTGTGTCTGCGCACACAAAGAAAAGATACGAAGTTAATGAAGTTGGAATTCTGACTCCAAATGAGCAGCCAACGCATAAACTGTAAGTGAAAATTTATTTGAATGGAACAAATTATAAGTTGGTGTAAGATACAAAGTCCTGCATTTCTGTTTGATTTTTTTCTTTGAGTGGTAAAGGCTGGGAGACAACTGGGGTTTTTGTTCTTGTGCTTTAGTGGTGGTTTTTAAATGATTATTATCTGTAGCTTAATGCTCAGTGTCAGTATGTTTCATTTTGGGCGTGCTGAGGCAGAAGCTTTTGGGGACTGCTTTTTGGTCACTGCTAGGGGGAGGAGAAGCCATTCTATCACTTATAGTGCATTGAACATCTGGACAGCTATTTTTTTGTTTTAAGACTAGCATTTGATATTCAGCTGTCCAGTTTATTTCTAGGAACTACCTTGTTTGAAAGTGGAAGGGGATGGGGCTTCATCTTAGTTATTGCTGCAGCATATTTTGAGGGTGGAAAACTTAAAATCCATTAATGCAACAGCTTGCAGAAACTGGCTTCTCATGGCAGCTGTGGGAAGAAAATCAGGTACTTAGAAATAGTGGAGAAGCTTTATCAGTTTGCATCCAAGTATGTGTTAATGGCTTTTTTAGGAGATTGTCAGTGAGACTGACACTGTGTGGTGGGTTGATCCCAGCCAGCAACTAAGCACCCAACCAGCCACTTGCTTATTACTGCAACCCCAGTGGGATGGGGAAGAGAATTGGAAGAGAAGTGAGGAAAGACTCATGGGTCAAGTAAAAACAAATAAGTGAAGGAAAAATAAAAGTGTATTTGTGTGGGAAGGGGTGCGAAGACAGTCGGTTACTCAACACCTCCTACAAGCAGACCGACCACTAGCAGACAAGCTAGTGTATAAGCAACTACCACCTTGGAAAGACTATACTCCTTGTTTTTTATTGCCAAGCGTGATGTTTTATGGCATGGAATATCCCTTTGGTCAGTTTGGGTCTGCTCTCCTGGCTGTGTCACCTCCCAAGCTCTTGCCCTAGCCTGCTTGCTGGGGGAGGACCAAATGAGAAACAGAGAAAGCCTTCATGCTGTGCAGGCACTATTCAGCAATAGCTAAAACACTGGTGTGTTGTCAACACCATTTTATTCACAAATCCAAAGCACAGCACCATATGGGGCTGCTGTGAAGAAAGTTAACTCCGTCCCAGCCAAAGCCAGTACATACTATTTTACTCTCTTATTTACCACGGGTTCCTCTCCTAAACAGCATTATGTGCTGATGGAAGGCATTTGTTTTTTGTTTCTGCCACTTATTATATGAAGCTGTGGTGACAGATGGGAACTGTTCTGGTTTTGTTTCTTTGATCCTTAAGAAGTTCCTTCTAGCTCCAGCTTTCAAACTGGGAGTAGCACAGAATTCAAAATCTGGAACCATAATCGTACTGTTTAGCTATAACAGAAGTAGAGCTACTTGAGTTAACAGATAGTCTGTCCCCTGAGAAACAACTTAAGTCTGACTTTCGGACTGTGGGGTTTCAGGGGAGTTACTTATTTGAATTTCTGACTGGGCTAAGTCAAGTGGGGAAAATAGCATAAATACTGATAATGCCAGGAAGCATGTCCATATAATGCCAGTTTTATTTAGATTTGCTGGACAGGTGGGCTACCTGATTGCTGGAATGAAAGAAGTAACAGAAGCCCAAATAGGAGACACGCTGTTTTTGTATAAACAGCCGGTGGAGCCTTTGCCTGGCTTTAAGTCAGCGAAGCCAATGGTTTTTGCAGGTGAGTAGTAAACTGATACAAAGTGGAATTACTTTTTTCCAGTAACAAGAGCAAGAAAGCTATTAGAGCTTCTAAAATAATATGTGTATATTAAGAGTTGTGAGGATTAGAATTTTAGCAAAGTTAAGCTACAGATGCATATAATTTATATAGCTTTGTGTGATTTTTCCTGTGACTTAGTGGACGAGTTATAACCGTTGCAGATTGGTTTTAGATGACTGCAAGACTAACATATTTTTAGCCACAATTATTGCTTCTAGTTCCAGTCAGTTTTGATAGCTGGAAAAGAAGGGTTGAAAATTTTAAAAAATGAAGTCCATTTATTTGAATTCTTCATCTTGATAAACGGGTTTCCATAATAATTGTGAAATCTTTTTGTTTTTAAAAATTAACAACTGTTTAATTTTTGTTAAATATAGTAAACTATCAAAGCTAATATTCAGAATGATTCTGTAAAATATTTGACTGTTTAAGCTTGAATAGTTCTGTTGAGCTGTTGCCATCAGCTTCAGTAACTACTACTACAGATGCTATGGCAGATGGCTTTAGAAAAAAGTTCTGTAAATTGCTTTCTAGATTTGTTGTGGTAGAATGTGTAAAACTCGAACTGTCTCATGGAGATTATGCTGTCTGTTAGTGAATGTAGAAAAGTGTAATCCTGTAAATTTCTTTTGTGTGCATGTGTGTTGCTTCTTGGTATAGAGCAAGTTACGCTTTCTGAACATGTGGTGATGTGAAAAGTGGTACAGTAGAACCTATTTCAGGCAGTAACTATACAGACAGCTGCTTTTTATTAATTTCAAAAAAAATACAGAAACATTTGCAATTTTTTTCTTGCTAGTCACTCTTACCTTTGCAGGAACATCTCAGTGAAGTTTGTCTGCTTATTCATTAATGTTTAAGCTGTATGTTTACACTGCAGCCCTGCAAAACATTGGTTATACTCAATTGTGCATCTTCCACAACTGTGAGGGATTAGATAAGTACAGTATCCCTACCATTATGGTTTGAATGTTAACTCTTGGGGGTTTCTTTGAGGTAATCTGAAACTTCATTGCGTTTTAACTATTTTTTTGCAAAAAATATAATAAAATACTTGTATTGTTTTTCACATTAAAAAAAGAATAGAAAGTAAGCTATTTCTGATTTCATTACTGTGTTCACTGTAAAAGCCATCTCTATCATATCACTGCTATCTAGTATATTTTCACAGGAATGTATCCTGTAGATCAAACAGAATATAATAATCTCAAAAGTGCTTTGGAAAGGCTGACATTGAATGACTCCAGTGTAACTGTTCATCGTGACAGTAGCCTTGCCTTAGGAGCTGGATGGAGGTGAGGCTTTTATACTGCTTTCATTTTTGGAGCTTTCTTTTTGTTTGTAAGTTGAGACTGCAGGTTTAAGTCAACTGAAGGTTGAATTAAAATGAATTCAAGATTAGGATCTTTAATTTAAATTAATAGGTAAAGATATCAAAAGCATTTGATTTTCTTACAGTCTGTGCAGAGTATACAATTTGTTGTCATTGATAGTTTTTATTCTTGAAGACTCATTCATACTGTTCAACTGTATGATCATTTGTAGATCATTGGCTGTGCCTTATATAGCCCAACTGCCAGTGTGAACGTGCTGGAGGGAAAAAAAACCCCAAAACAATCACTGTGAAATTCCAGGGGATATGCAAATACTTTCACCAACAGGATATTTTTTTCCCAGGTTGGGTTTCCTTGGTCTTTTACACATGGAAGTTTTTAATCAACGTTTGGAGCAAGAGTATAACATGTCTGTTATTTTGACTGCACCTACAGTTCCATGTAAAGCTATCCTTTCCTCAGCGAAGTTGATAAAGGTATGTTAAACTTACAACAGCTTTACAAAAATAGCAGTTTAAAAGCCTCCTATAATAAATGTCTACACTTCTTTTTTTTAATGTCGACTAGTGCTTTATTTTATGGCAAACATTAGAAATACCAATGTGTAACTTAAAACTTTTTTTAATGGATTTTTTTTTAAGAATGTCAACTTTCCTTCTCCCTTCTACTTCAAGCACTCTTCTTATGTCATATACTTGTCCTTGAAAATGAGAATAAAGGGCACATTTCTTGCTGTATTCTTTGAAGCATATACTGACTGGACTGAGTTTAAAGCAGGTGAAATAATCTTCCATGTTTTATCAGTTAAAAAACATTAACATTTTTAAGGAATAACTTGCAGTGCTACTGTAGACTGGCTGGGGCTGGTGAAGGCGAGTTTTTGATCACAGTGAAATAGGCATGTGCAAACTTCATGGAATTGGGTGCAAAAAAATTGCTATGCTTGAGTTTGAGATAGACAGGTGGACTTTATGAGCACCTGCAGACAGGAGGCTGCAGATAGGCTGTCTGATTATACTTATAGTATCAGGGTGGAGTAAGAAGGAAGGTCCTTGCTCTTCAGGCAAGAGAGAGATGGAAAGATGGACAGGTTCTTTTGTTTCCATGGATAACCCTTTGTCGTAGTCCTAGTTCTAAGCATTTCTGTTTAAAATTCGCTGGCTAAAATGCTTAAAAAAACATTTTCCTAGTGAAAGTAATTTCTATAATAATATTTAAAGATATGCTGATCAGGGAGTTCCGTGTGTGATGTAGAAATCTCTTTAAAAATTTTGCTTGGTATAAATTTGGTTTTTTGTAAATCACAAGAGTTTCCAAGCAACTGGAACATTTTTTAGCATTCTTTCAATGCTATTTTTGTCTCCTTTGCTATTCAGTCTACTTATTTGTAAAATTACAATATCTATTTTGTTTGTTTGTTTTCAGGAGTATGGTAAAGAAGAGATTACTGTTATCAACCCTGCTCAGTTTCCTGATAAACTTTCGGTATCTGAGTATTTGGAGCCAACTGTTCTTGGTACTATTGTAACACCTCATGAATACATTGGGAAAATTATTACTTTGTGTCAGGTTGGTGTATAGTTTTAGTTTTGTTGTTTGCATTTTTAAGCTCTTCATATGATACTTAAAATGAAGGTACTAGATAGTAAGGTACTAGATATTAGTACTTAAATATAATCTTCAACAGTACTTATTATTTTTTTTTCTTTCAAGAGTATTTAAACTTTTATGTGTAAAATTATTTCTGAACTACAAAATCCTTATAGTGAAAGTTAGTGATAAAGTCAGTGACAAAATACCTAGTCAAGCATACTGCACTAGACAAATTTGTAGCTAGGTCTGTTTTCCTAAAGAATGGAATCTACAGCAGGGGAATAAGATCTATTATTTTTTTAGAATTATATTCACGGAAATGCAACTTTTGCTAACACTTTACTGAAGCTTCACATATATTTTCAGTACTTCACTGGAGTACATTTATGATAGTGATAGCTAATCACACTTTCCTAGTCTAGGTGTTCCTGCTCTGGCAGGGGGGTTGGACTAGATGATCTTTCGAGGTCCCTTCCAAATCCTAGTATTCTGTGATTCTGTGAAGTATATTTGGAATACTTTTATTGAAAAGGGTTTTAACTGCCATGCATATTGTCTTTATATAATTTCTTCATAACATTTTTCTTTGCTGCTAACATTTTGAAATACATAATACAAAAGAGTACAGTACTTGTTTGTCAGTACAGTGTAGTATAAGATCTATTAAAAAGAATTGCTAAAGTAACTTTAAGAACACCCTCCTGGCTGGAAAGAGATGAGCCTGCGTGTCCTACTGTGTAATACTCCAATGTATGTGAAAAATCTAATTTCAGTGAGAATTTATGGACAAATAATTGTACATTTAAAAGGCAGCAGTAACAGAAACTGTTAAGGATTTTAAAAATTCAGTTTTTAGAGAGGATAGGTTTGAATCACTTGTCCAGCACTGTGCCCTGGTGGCCAAGAAGGCCAATGGCATCCTGGGGTGTATCAGGAGGGGGGTGGTGAGTAGGTCGAGAGAGGTTCTCCTCCCCCTCTACTCTGCCCTAGTGAGACCGCATCTGGAATATTGTGTCCAGTTCTGGGCCCCTCAGTTCAAGAAGGACAGGGAACTGCTGGAGAGAGTCCAGCGTAGGGCTACAAAGATGATCAAGGGAGTGGAGCATCTCCCTTATGAGGAGCGGCTGAGGGAGCTGGGGCTCTTTAGTTTGCAGAAGAGGAGACTGAGGGGAGACCTCATTCATGTCTATAAATATTTAAAGGGTGAGTGTCACGAGGATGGAGCCAGGCTCTTCTTGGTGACAAACAATGATAGGACAAGGGGTAACGGACACAAGCTGGAACACAGGAGGTTCCACTTCAATTGGAGAAGAAACTTCTTCTCAGTGAGGGTGACAGAGCACTGGAACAGGCTGCCCAGAGAGGTTGTGGAGTCTCGTTCTCTGGAGACATTCAAAACCCGCCTGGACGCCTTCCTGTGCAACCTCATCTAGGTGTTCCTGCTCCGGCAGGGGGATTGGACTAGATGATCTTTTGAGGTCCCTTCCAATCCCTAACGTTCTGTGATTCTGTGATTCTGTGATTCTGTCCAGTTACGTTCCAACCACTTAATTTATGATGGTGCTGCAGTTTGTTCTGTGACCAGCAAACTGTCAATAAGAAAGTTACTTTGGGTCTTGAAGTACGGGAGTTTTCTTCTGTAACTGGATAGCTGTTTATTATAACTTGCTTTGTATTTATTTGTAGAAAACTTCTGTTAAGGGGAACTGAAACAATTTTTATTTGTCTAGGATCATAGGGCAGTCCAGAAGGATATGTTGTACATTGACGAACACAGGGTTATGCTAAAATACCTCTTTCCACTGAATGAAATTGTGGTGGATTTTTATGATGCTCTTAAGTCTCTGTCTTCTGGTTATGCAAGGTAACTACCTCCTTTGTACTCCCCTCCCCTCTCCCTGGACCCTGAGTGGAGGAACAAAAAAAGATCTGAGGAGAAGACACACGGAGAGGCACAAGCTAAGAACACTCTTATGATGGTGCTGCAAATTGAGTCTTGCTTCACCTTTAATGAATGAGATTCACGCTGAAAACTTATGAAAGTACATCTGAAAAACACTATAAGTGCATTGCTACCTAATAATCAATTTCTTTGGTGATGCATGTATTGTTCAAGTATGATATACAGAGCGACATTTGCTCATCTAGAAGATGGGCATTTTCTGTCAAAGGAATCACTGAAAATTTACATCTGACTTTGTTGTGTCTAGGTGGAAAAGGAGAAATAACCCAACACTGATTCTTTAAAGCTAGTAAAAACAATCAACAAACTATATTAAAACCAAACAATACTTACTTTACTTACATGCTTTATTATTGGAATAAAGTAAATAATCTGTATTTTGAGACAAAATGTTCTGCTCTGAGTATATTCTATAAATTCAGAGGAAGAGCCTTTGTGAGTTCAACGGAAGGGAAAATGTTGCATGGCAGATGGGCTTATACCACAGGAGACTCAATAGCTCTTACAAACCTGATATGTGGAGATGTTGTTAATAAATATCACATTTTTGACAGGAACCGGTGTACCTAATTACATTATTAAGCATAAAAAAGAATTTTATTGAAGGACTGAATTTGGTTTGAGTTTGAGTTTTCTTAAGTATGTCTTATAAAGGTAAGGTAAGATGTGTTTTGCCCAGATTAATGTATGTCTGAAGTAGAAGCATAATCAAAAGTGGGGAGGCAAGAAGGACAGGTAGAAGAAACGGGGGTGGGAATTTTTTCTTAGGATCTAGTGTTCCAACTAGATAAAAAGCAGTCTGTTTATCAAGAAACTATCTCATTAGCAGAATGATGCTGGGTTTGCTTTGATTCAGGTGTAACTGCAAACAATACTGCATTGTCTTATTTCTTGAATTTTAGTTCATAATTTACTCCCTAATGTTGCTTGTGTATTTAATGCTCTCAAGAATCAGACTTTCATATGAATCTGTTCACACAACTATGGTTTATCTAAGGCATTTAAGATAGAAGTACTTATTTCCCCTCTGTTCTGATATTTTGGATGTGACCAGTTTAGTGGTATTGGCATTCTCCACATTTAATACTTACATACAAGATATATATAGAGAGAGATACAGATATAAAACCCATTTATCTCTGCATCTCCTCCACTTTAAGAATTTTTGCAAACTGACACACAGACAGCAAGGCCCTTACCTATGAAAGGAGAAACATGGTTTGGAAATGAAGAGGAAAGCTTGGTTGTCAGAGAGAATAATAGGAGTCATATAAAAAGTCTGTCAAATGAGAGGATGAAAAGGAAACAGTCCAGTATTAGTATTTGATTTGTGTGACATCAAGGATGTTTACTGTTCAAAAGCTGTGTTGAAGGGTTCTGTTGCCTGGAGCTTTAAGGAACTTCCAGCTGATAGAAAAGAAGTGTTTGAATAAAGTCTTTAAGATGTTGCAGTAAGAATTTAGATTTTTTTTTTTATTGATTTACCTTGCTCAGTACCTGAAAGACAGATAATGTCTTCTGCTGCTTTGGAGATGAGATTTATCTGTAAAAAATTTCTAGTCCAGTCTTGCATATGGCAGACGTACTGAGAGACTTATAAAAACTGTGCTCCTATTTTAATAAAGAGTTTAAGTGTTTTATGTGTCTAAAGCTGAAAATGTATGAAACAAAGGTTGTAGAATATAATTTTTACAAAATCATCATTAACTTTTAAACAACTTTCTTCTAGTTTTGATTATGAAGATGCAGGATACCAGGCAGCAGACCTTATAAAAATGGATATTCTTCTAAATGGAAATCCAGTTGAAGAACTGGCAACAATCATACACAAGTAGGTTGACTGGATTCTATATTCCAAAGAAATAAGACTTCATATACAAGGAAAACATATATACGTATCACTAATATATGACAAATATGTTTGAAAAGAGTATTGAGAATTTTACCACATCACTACTTTTGGACATGATCTGAAAAAGAGAGGCATTTAAGTGCTAGATATATTTTTGTGGTAATGTAGGGCAATGAGGAGAAGGAAATGCAAAATACCCATCTTTTAGTGAGCTGGAAAAATTTAAATGCAGACCAGTGTAGGAGATGCCAGGTGAATCATTTATGGCACTTATTATTTACTCTTGAAAAACTGAAGGAAAAAAAAAAAGATTTTATGCTCCAAATAATTCCTCTTCTGTAGACGTTTGTTGTCATCTTGTCTCCATGCAGAGCACCAGGAGAAAGTAAATATTTACTAGACATAATTTTTTTTTGTTGTTCTTAAAATACTAACTTGTAGTTGCTAAAAAAATTGTGTATTTTCATATTTCTTTGACCTAACTGCAATCCTTAAATCCTTGGAATTCCTTAAGGTTGACTTCGGAAAATGAAACCCTTACTTTGTTCAGAAAGATCATGGGGCTACAGTTTATTAACTCTCTCCTATACTTTTGTTACTTAATGTGTTTTTCATAAATATGCAATGTTTAGCAATCTACCTGCATCTCTTACTTTGAAAAGATGCAAAATGGAGTGGCCCACCTTGCAAAAGTTAGTTATTGCTTTAACATGTTTCTTGATCAATTTAACTTGCAATCCTGAACTGTTTTCACTCAATAAAACTAACAATAGCCTTTCTTTTAGCTTTAGATAACAATTTATTTTAACTTGGAGACAGCATTGATTCTGCTCCTGCTTCAGTTATTCTCAGAGTCCTCTCACTGTAAATAGACTACATCTGTCTATATAAAAAGAATTATGCTGAATTACATTTATAGAGAGGGAATTAGACTATTATAAGCTCAGTACTAAGCTAGTCATTATTATTTCTCCTAATTATACACATAAATATCTGTATCTTAAGTAATACTGATTAAATATTACAGTTTTAGTACTTTGTGCTCAAACTGCGCTTTATGCGGGTAGCAGGGAGTCACGTTGCTACATGAAAACATGTCAAACTCTCTTCAGCTGTATGTTGCTAAATCATATCTTTGATATGATCTGTATCTTTGCTAAATATGGATGTGTTGAGAGAAGAGACCCATTTGCTTTCAGTGGCTTATGAAAGTATCTGTTCAGTAGCTTCTTTAGACCTTTTGTCACTTTTTCTTTCCAAAATCTGAAGCATATGCAGATGCTGAGTATAGCTGGATAAAATTTTTTTCTCTTTTTATATAAAAATAGATGTTTTAAAAACATTTCTGTAATATATAGACCTTGTTATCTTTCAGGCCTATAATCAGTGAAAGCCCTCCTTGACCTTTTAGTTTAAAACTGCATTTGAAGCTCTGACAGTATTCAAAATGTCTTCAGTGAGATAATCAGTGTTTATTATACATATTTAAAATTTATTTGAAGACCTTCTGTTAATACAATCTTATCACCTGTTTGTATGAAACAGGTGACAGAGATCACTCATTAGATGTAAAATTATCTGGTTATCTTTTGAGTTAAAAAGGGGAAAACCTCTACTAAAATCTTTTTATCAAGCAGTTCAGTCTATGGATATATTTTTGGCGTTGTATTACTCTTTCTGAAAACACCGGTGACTTTCTTTTTCAGTGATAAGGCATATGCCACTGGTAAATTCCTGTGTGAACGTTTAAAAGATGCTATACCTAGACAGTTGTTTGAAATAGCCATTCAGGCTGCTATTGGCAAGAAAATCATTGCAAGAGAAACGTAAGTGAAGCCCTTCTGTTTCCCTTCTCACCCCCCATATTTCAAGCTACTTATAATATGGCCCCTTAATGTTTTACCTGAATAGTTTTATATATTACTGTACTCTGATTTTACTGTAACGTCATATCTTGTTTATGGTACTGGATCTCTTGGGGGAAAAAAACATACATTTGAGCCGTGACTATGACTAAGGACTCTGTATAAATTTAATTAGGGGGGAAAAAAAGGTATTTTTATTTCAAATTTCTTGTGGTCAGCATTGTTCTTCGTGGATAGATAACTTGTAACACCCATGTGTCCACTTTCTCTTTGGCAGTGCAAAAAGTTTCTTACTACTGGAAAAAAGTAGCTAGTTGTGGAATAGTTTAATCTCCGGGAGAGTCAGCAAAAAAAATGCTGAACTGCGCTATTCCAAAGAAAAAAAAAGTCACAAGCTCAACACAGATGTATTTATTAGCAGCACTCGCATCTTTTAGAACAAACTGTTTCCTTGATGTTGCGTTTCTTGTCACGTTTTTGCTGTTACTGTTTAAACAGAACTTAAATAGTGGTAAAAGAATTAAAGGTAGGGATCCAAGCAAAGGTGACAAAGCCGCAGTAAGAATTAGTGTTATGTATCTATATACACATATGTAAGTGACACTTACTGTGAATCATAGCAGAAATTCTAGATAAGATTATAATTTTATGTACATATTATACACCTTAAGGGATATTTCTAGAATTGAGAAATGTAAATTGTTTTCTGTTTAGAACTTTGTCTCCAGTATACAAAATATTAAAATGTCATGATTCCAGTGCATCTTACAGAACTAGCAGAAAAACAACTCTTAGCATTTTGACAACTCAGTATGTAGCTGCACATACAGGAGACGTTCTAATGTGTTAATATATTTTATTTTACAGGCTGAAAGCTTACAGAAAAAATGTTGTGGCAAAATGTGTAGGTATTTTTAAATTTTTTTTGTTTCTAATATATGTAAACTTAAGAGTCTTGCTAACATGATAGGCCTATATTTTTCTAGACACCTAGCAAAGACACATTCTGCTTGTGTTCCTAGGTGTCAATGGAATATTAACAGGTACTTTTAAGCTTTTATTTTAAAATTCAATTAATGTAACCTCTAGTTGCAGCTTGCAGTAGAAGTGGATCAGAAAGAAGAATGGCTTTTTCGAAATTACACATTTAGAGTCAACTCAACAGAATGTGTCTGTGTTCATTCTTGTCTCCTCACCATTTTCTAATAGCTGTAGACATACAGTAAAGGGGTGTGTGTTTGCACACTCAGATGTGTAACTTCACATGCTTCCTCAGTTGTTTTTTCCAGGTGATTTATGAAACTATAAAAGTGCTTCTTTAGAGGCTGATTGTGATTAGACTTTTATTTGAGTTTTCAGTAATGCATATTTAAGGCCTTGTCATGATGTAATAGTTGACTATCAACAAGATTGGACAAACCTATAGGAAAAACATGATGCCTCTAACTTACCTTGTTTTTAGCTCTCTGAAGCAAACATGTTACAAAAAATAAACAAGTGTCCTTTCTCATAACTATTACAGCATTCTTTTTCTAGGCATGTATGTGGGATGATATTTGTTCAACATTGTATAACGGTTCAGTTTATCCAGACATAAGCACCAAGGGCTAGTCAAGATGCCCCAGTGTATCTGAGCTGGCACCCTGCTGCTGTTCCAAGGGGATGTTGGTATCCCATAAGTTGTGTCTAATGTCAGCCAGGCTTATGTGAATGTTTGTTTAGGTAACTGAATTCAACCAAACATGTCCAAATGAACATGCTTACTTGCTCCCTTGCTCTTTTTACGTAGTGGCCTTTTGGGGTAACTATCTGGAGTATAAAATAATATTTTGTCATAATATAACTAGCCTTTCTGACTGTTTTTAAACCTTGGAGTTGTGTTGCTGATATGTAGTACTGTAGTTGCATTTAAGCTTACTAATTTTTTTTCCTTTTCATAGTACGGTGGAGATATTTCAAGAAGAATGAAGCTTTTAAGGAGGCAGGCAGAAGGGAAGAAGTTGATGAGAAAAATTGGCAATGTGGAAGTACCAAGAGATGTCTTTATACGTGTTTTAAAGAGACAAAATGACAAATAGAGATCAATGACACAAAGCTGATGATTCTCTCAACTTTTTGTAGTCAGTAGCATAATGAGCTAATGTAATTTATCACTGTGAGAGGGAACATTTTTAAGTGGTGTAAATCAAATGTATGTGGGAGCATAAATTAAAAGGACTAAAAATGATTATTATGAAATTAAAGTTATTTAATTTGATTTTACAATCCTAAAGTTTTCATAGAATTGTTTTTCATTGCATTTCATAGTTTTCATATTTTTAACACTTAAAAATTAACATAATTATGTTTTATTTTTGCATTGCAAGTCTTTGAATGAGAGAACAGGAACAATGAGGCAAAAATTTTTATAGAAATAATTGAAAGGTATGTATAGACAAACAATGCTGTTTATAAAAAAAAAAGTTTGAACTGTTGCCACAAAAAATATCAACCTACTTCCTGTTTTATTTTCTAAAGTTGTTGTTGTCAGGAAATCATGACAGTGTTGAGAAATCATGTAAGGAAAAGCTAATCATGACTTTTTTAATATACCACAGTATTTTAAACTTTGTCGAAGTGTGTCAGTTTACAGCTATGTTAATATCCAACAAAACTGTAGGTTTTACATATCTTGTGTTTTAATATATTAACTGCTCTACTAGCAAGACCAGTTCAGGCCTTAAATAATTCTTTTGGTTACATACAGAAAACAACTGAAGATTATTCCTGAAAAGAGGCAGAAACAGTCTTAGACATGCTCAGACAGGTACAGGTGCTGCTGTGCCAGTATTTAAACTGGCCTGTTTCACACAAGTTCCAATAGTTACGAAGGGATAAGAGATACTAATTCTATGGTCTCACATGTCTTGAGAAACTACAAAAAAGGGTTTTAGTTGGTGACGCTGGCAAGAGAGGCAGAAGACTGAAACGTGCTTTGGAATAAAGAACAAAAATACAGAATTGCAAGGAAGAAAAGTTTTTAGAAGCAGAGAGATATAAAAGCAATAGATTAGAACTCATGGTCAAGTTGTTTCCTCAACAGAATTCCCAATTTTCCCACAAGATAGATCATGATCATTAAGACAAAAACATGCTTGCATTCCTTCAATAGTAACTTAAAATCAAGATTATTTTTAGTCTGACTCTTTTTGTAATTCAAGTGTTTACAGCAAAGTAAAGACTTTGTTTTATAAAATAAAGCCAAACAGTGCATTTTGTGGGACATATGCTACATCTAACAGCATATTCCTGCAGCAGCCTTTTAAACTTTTCCCCCCTAATGTTGTATTATGCTTCAAAAATGCAAGTGCAAAAGTTGTCTTAAACCTGAAAGCTTGTTTAAATACATGCTTATTCAATCTACTGTTAAGAACTAAAACACTAGGTCTGGCTTCCTATACTGCTTGAGACAGACTCTTCCATCCTTTTGTATTTTTACAGAATCATAGAACAGTCTGGGTTTGAAGGGACCTTGAAAGACCATCTGGTCCAACCCTTTATGGGAAAGGTGAGCCTAGATAAGATTATCTAGCACCTTGTCCAATTGCATCTTGAAAACCTCCAGCAGTGGGGGTTCTACCACATCCCTGGGGAGGTTGTTCTAGCAAATCATTGTTCTTACTATAAAAAAAGTGATGAAAGCTTCCCAAGTGCACCTTGTACCTGCTGCTCCTTGCTGTGTGGCTCCCTGTGAAAAAAGAGCCTCTATTCTCTTTGTAGTCACCCTTTAAATACTGGAATACTGTGATGAGAGCCCCCCCCAAGACTTAACGTCTCTAGGATGAAAAGACCTAACTTACAGAGCAGGTTCTCCAGCTCTGATCATCTGTGTGGCCCTCCTTTGGACCCTCTCCAGTCTGTCAGTGTCTTTCTTGAATTGTGGGGACCAGAACTAGACACAGTACTCCAGGTACAGTCTGACATACATCAAGTAGAAGGGGATGATCACTTTTTTTATCTGCTATTAATGCCCCTGTGGATGCAGCCCAGGACCTGATTTGCCTTTGTTGCTGCAGCAGCAGCACGCTGCTGACCCATGTTCAGCTTGCTTTCTACCAGGTCCCTTTCAGCAAGGCTGCTTCCCAGATGCACAGCTTGGGCTCTCCAGTTATTCCAGCCCAGGGCTTTAGGCCAAATTCCTGTTAGTGCAGCCACTAATCTCAACTAAAACAGGATTAATGTGGTTTGTAATAAAGGCTACCTGCCTATCTACCTAGGTGAAAAGTAAAATTGTTGAAGCTATGCTTTGTTGCACTTTATCCCAGTCAGCATTTTACACAAGGACATGCTCCCCCCCCACAAATACCACCTCAGTATCAATCACAGAATCACAGAATCGCTTGGTTGGAAAAGACCTCTGAGATCATCATGTCCAACCATTCCTGTCTACCCCCTAAACCATATCCTTAAGTACCTCGTCTACCCGCTCTTTAAATACATCCAGGGATGGTGACTCCACCACCTCCCTGGGCAGCCTGTTCCAGCTTCTGACAACCCTCTCAGTAAAGAACTTCCTCCTTATCTCTAACCTGAACCTCCCTTGGCACAGCTTGGTGCCATTTCCCCTTGTTCTATACCCCATCATCACCTGGGAGAAGAGACCAGCACCCACCTCTCTACAACCTCCCTTTAGGTAGTAATCAGTACACTCTTAACTTCCTCCTTAGGTGGAAGAAGGCACAACATTCCTAACCCCTCCATGAAAACTTGAAGTCTTTATTCATGTCATAATTTATATTAGAAACAATTTTAAAATTATAGATTTATATTTAAGTTTTACTTATATTCAAAGTAGGAAATAACATTCCTGGTAACAGCTCAATGTTTATAATGATACCATAAGAGGTAACTATTGCAAAGTGATTAACAGTTAACTTTAAATGATCATGTATTAAACTTGCGGACATTATATTCCTGTAAATTAACCACCTTTCAGGCATTTAGTAGTAAAATCCATGGTGCAATTAAACAGATACCTCCAGAAAGGAACATTTAGATTTGTTATGTATAAAGCTCAATTACCAAAAATATAAAAATCCTAAAGTAATTTGAAATACATGAGAGGAAAAAGTGCTATGGCAGAAGTTTTAATATTTTCATCTGTGGAATAAGTTATAACTCTCAAGAATCTGGTGCATTTTTAGGCACTGTTCTTGTATTTTTATTTGCCTGAATTGTACAGCAGGACTTGAGATGCCCAAAAACTGCTTAACATAAATTTAAGGCAACCAAGTGCAATAGCTCAGTGTACATGAGATATGTAAACAGAACATTTCATAGTAGAAATTGTACAACTATTACAAGTCTACAGTATTGACAAAGGCCAAAACCATTCTGCCTAGAGATACAAATGCAAAATGTAGTTACACTAATCAAGCCCAAAACTACCAATTCCAGGAAATAAAATATTATTTTGTCTTATACAAGGCAGATGCATTACATTGCTGTGCCAGAATAAATGCTCTGCTTTCCCACCCTATGTAACATGCAGTCTCCCACAGGTTTGTTCTGTTCCATTTAGTTGTGGACCAGCCATGTCCATTTAGCTATGCTTCAAATGTAAAAGCAAAATGCACAACAAAGCATACAGATGGAAGGGGAATGTACAGATATTGGACCTTTAAAAAAAAATACAGTACCTAGGATTCCCCATTTTAAACAGTTTTCAGCATATTGCATAGCAGTGAACTCATCTGCTACCTAAAACTGTTGCTGTTGACCCACATGGAGTTCCTCTTCAATTCTTCTTTCAGTTTTCTTTCATACTGTACAGTGGGTCCACAAGCTTATTGTGCACATGCATTAAACCTTGGGGGGAAAGCAACAATGCGAGCTTTACATTAGTTATACTTTTCCAACATGTCTTTCTATCCATATTTTAATTTGGAGTTTGCTTCAAAGCATACATTTTAAATAGTTCACTGAAGAGAATAATGATGGCTACGGTTTAAAATCAGAAGTTAAAAGGAAGCCTATATATTCCTGTATCACTTGAATACTATTGACATCTTCAGTATAAAGTGAACAGAGATGAGAGTTATCTGGTAACAGACCCATCAAAAAGCAGATCTGGAATACTTCCAAATGAATTGAATACATGAGGGTCACCCATCTTTCCTTTGTAATAAAAGCTGTGTAACAGTAACAAAGTTTTCTCACACCACAGTTTGTCATAAAAATCAGGTGTGCACACACTGATACTTTTAGAGCTTGAGTTGCAACATTCTAGCATTGTGGTATTACTACCTTTGTAATTAAAAGCATACTTCTCTTCCTAGACAGGCAAAACCAAGCTAAAAGTATTCAGACTGTTAATACAGATTCAGAACTTCAGTAGTTCAATTGTATTCTGTTCTATTCTAGCTGCACATTTTTTTGTCATTTACAAGTCATCTATGTCTGTGATTAGGGGAGTATTATTTTCCCTATTCAGAGACAAGTGCTGAAGAAAAGAACAATGAAAAGGTGCTGCTTTCTTTATTTGGTTACAATTTAGTAATAATGTTACCTACATCTAGGTATATATGACATTCAGTCACTAGTGTGCTTTTAACCTCATTTTACCTGAAGGATTAACTACTGATCAGTGCTCACAATCTGCAAAGTGAAAGTCCATTTTAGCCCCAAACTAAATATTAACTTCTAAAATTACAAATTTAAATAATATACAATATTAAAATTAGAGAAATTTTCTTAAAAGCCATGAAAGAAGTCTGAAAGTAGTGCATATTTTAGTGATTATCTATGGCAAAGAATATTCAAATACCTTTGCTACACGATGCATCTGGTGGCAAACAGTGTCACTGCAGCAACATGAAATTTGAATAACTATACAATCCTAGGTCATTACTGTAGGTGACCACAACACAAGGCATTTTATGCAGTACCTATTTCTAATTGTGATTATTTAATAAAAAATGCAGACATTACTATTTCCTTCTCCACTTAGTGACACATTCAGCCATACTAAACAGCCATAATAATACTAAACATACTCATAACTAACTCAGGAACTCAGCTCATTTTGTGTCTAGAGGTAATAATGTAGCTTCAGATACTTGTGCAAAAAAAAGAAAAAAAAAGAAAAAAACTAAAACCAAAACAAAAACCACCCCCAAAAAACCCCAAACCTTAGAAAGCAACATAACAAAATAGTTCTTTAAATTTCATGAAGGACAGCTATTGGATTGAGGTTGAAGAAATATCAAGTCTAATATTTTTCAGGAGTTTAACAGTAAGTGAGAAGATAATACATATACATTTAATACTTTTTCAGTACAAATGGGTTTTGTAACAGCTGTACACACCACTTAAACTAGAACGGTGTTTTGAACTTTAGAGCATTTCACTTCCTACCAGTGTTTTTCTCTTCTAGAAAAAGGAAATGAAAAGGAGATAATTACCCACTTCCTAGAGGCATGAAAAATGCTTACAACGTATTGTCTCTGCCATATTTAATGAAGGATATTAAGTCCTGTTAGTAAAATTGCTTCAGGAAAAGCAGTTAGAAGCAAAAGCTTTTTTTTCAAGGTATGCAGAGTCTTTACTGGATGGATGCCAAAGCAACTATTTCAAAGAAAAGTCCCACTATATATTCAAGTATGCTTTGAATAAACAGATTCCTGCATACAGTACTAAGAAGAGCATGCACAAGTATGGAAAAGCTATCCTCAATTAACTTATCTGCAGATTAATTAGTAAATTCAAAAGTCATTTTCCACGTCATTCTACAAGAAAGTTACCTTTCCTTTTTCCAGTAAGAACAGTTAAGTACACTTGATAATTTTAGCCTCCAATAGATTTTCAGAAAGATAGAAAAAAAGTGAAGGGGAGTAAGAGTTATTCTAGTTACCAGCCAGTGTGGTACCTGGTTATCAAAAATACCTGAATATTCATATAGTACCTTGAGATTTATTTAGATTGTGAAAAAATGGCAGTAAATAGCTGCCATAATTAGCAGTCACTAAGAACTACCTAGCTTCCTAAGAAGTCTAACCTGAAGATCAAGATTCAGAAACAATTCGAAATTTGACCCACATTGATTTCTCCTCCATCTTAAAAGGGGGAAAATCTCACTGATTTGAGAATAGGTAAAATTAAGCAACTTTAGAGAAAACTATCTTTTTAAGAATTGTAGTGCTCTGTATTACAGAGTAATTAACTAGTGTGACACAACAGCACACATTCATATGCTGTAGCCCTTGATTTTTTAAAGCAATATTCAGTGTCATTTATACCTAGTAATTCTACACTAGATTTATATCTTGAGAGCAAAGCTTTTGTTTATGCGAAATACAGGATAATGCTTAAAATTTATCCAAGCAGTTAAAGAAGTTGAAAGCACCAATATGTACTATCTAGCTGTGTGATACAGTTAAAGACTTAACACACCTCACCCTCCCAATACATAGCAGAGAACAGCATACTGAAAAAAACCAAAATTGACAAGTTGGCAGCAAATGGTATCAGGATAAAAATCACATTAATGCCAGAATTGCAATTTAATACATATATGGACACTGGCGATATAATGCCCTTAAAAAGAATTTCATAAATTACAATCTTGATCAATGCCTCAACAACTACAAGTATCCATGGTGGTGAGAAAGATGACTGCTTAACACAATTGCATTTGCTGTACTAATATAGTTAGGAGAAAACTACTTTTCTCAGCTTCTACAGTATCAGTAAAACAGAATTCACATCTAAGAACTCTCAATGAATGTCAAAGATTCCAGCTTCCTTTAAGCTTGCCTCAGTACGCCTACTACAAATATGAAAAGCACAGTAAGAGGCTGCAATGTATTAAAAGTCAGTACAGATTGTTACGCTAATTGCACTGTACAAAAAAAATTCCTCAGGTGGCTTCAAAGTCTGTATCACACACTTAAAGTTTTCTACACAGCACATTACAGCACACAGCAAAAGCAGCTTGAAAATATATCACGATTAATACAAGTATTAAGGTTTTTTTTTTAAGTGGGACTTCACAGTATATTTAAGACAAGTATTCTGGGACACTAGACTGCTGTTCTTTTTACATACAGGTGAAAATTACTAAACTATCATTTCAAATTGGAAGCAAATATTTTTCCAAAGCAGATTTGTCAGGAATGAAAGGAACACAAGTTATGCCTCCTAGCACTTTTCAATTCACAAGAAATAAGTTAACAGTAAGTATTTTGAACATGTAACATTATACATTAGCTACTGTAAAATGTTGAAAGGCTCAGACTTAAATCAATATAGTTTATTTTTTTTTAAATATGTGTAACCTCTGATTCAGTGCTCACCTTTAAAGTACTTCACAGTTTTAATTCTCAGTTCTAAAGTAGCATCTTCATCACACACGAAGATAGTACGAGGGTGTTGCTGGAAAGCAGAAACTGTCCACATATGATTGACTCCTTCTTCAATTGCCTTGTACAATGCAAAAGCCTTATGTGCACCTGTTATAAGAATCATCACCTGCAAAAAAGAATAAGTCTCTTTACTTTCAGTCCCAGTATCAGTACCAACTAATCTTGAAAACAGACACATGCAGCTAGAACTAAATGAGTTCTTACTTCTCTAGCATCCATCACTGTACCCACACCAACTGTTAGCGCCATAGCTGGTACTTTAGATAAGTCTCCATCAAAGTATTTAGCATTTGCCAAAATGGTGTCCATTGCTAAAGTCTTTAATCTTGTTCTTGAAGACAAACTTGATCCGGGTTCATTGAATGCAATGTGGCCATCTGGACCAATGCCTTTTCAAAGTCAAAAAAAGTAAATCATTCCAGACCTGCGAGTCAACAAATATCCTCAAAACATTGTAAAGAAATAAAAAAGTTCTAGGACTCCTTTCCTTTTTGTTCCCAATTTTTGATAAAAAGCATTGAAAACTTAATTTCAAGTAAGTTATTAGAAACCTGGACACCAACCATTCTGTTTTGATACCAATTCTTAGTCACAGAACTTTCTTACTCCATAATAGAAAAAAGCAAATTAGGCAAGTTGTGAAAACAGTGATCGAAGAGTCAGTGTACTTGTTTAAATCACAACTAACCACAGAGCACTTCCACATACCTCCAACAAACAGATCAATCCCCCCTGCTTCTTCAATTTTCTTTTCAAATGCATCACATTCCGCCTGTAAGTCTGGAGCATTCCCATCAAGAATATGAGCATTATTTGGATCTATGTCAATATGTTTAAAGAAGTTATTCCACATATAGGAATGATAGCTCTCTGGATGATTTCTGGGGAGCCCTGAAATCAATACAAGATTTAATCAAACAGCCTTAATTCTAGTCTATGCAAAACTAATGTAGGGCATGCAAGACAAATCTAAGTAAGAAGTCAGATAAAGCAGTATCTGAAATTATATTAAGAAAAATTTCCTGTTGGTATGCACAAGGTAAATGGTTTACATTTCCTCTGTATACATCCTATCAGAAGGAGTGTAAAGTCATTAAAAGAAATGCAGTCACTATAATACGTGACAACACACTTTCTACATAAGTACTGCAAGCACTGAATGTAGCTCAGGATCCACCTGGACTAGTTTATTATTTAACATTTTTGTGGATAAAGAAATAGAGAAAAATGCTTCTAATGATCCCATTTACTTAAGTAACTTAGAAGTACAAAAATACTAGGTTGATCTTGTGCTTCATCAAGTATTTAACAGATTTAATAAAGGAAAAAAATTGTCAGTATAGTGTGTTCTCAAAAAATCAGCACATCTTACCTACATATTCATCCATGTTAAAAGTCTTCACGTATTTGAAAGAGAGATCTCCATTCTTGTGATATTCTATCAGCTTTTTGTAGCATCCCAAAGGTGTACTTCCTGTTAAATAAAATTTTTCTACTGTTCTATGCATCTGCACAACATTTTCAATGTATTTAAATCTCTTCATAATCAGATTTTGCTACAATGCTTTTTCAGCATTAAAAAAATAAGACTGTTATTTCTCATTTAGTATTTTTCAGCTTTTCAAACCTTATCACAACTTTTTACACAAATTAATATTTAAACAGAAATACGTTGGAAGTATTACCAATATATATTTGTGTTATTTTAGACACTTTATCTGTTACAAATGATGCATACATAGTTCTAGGCTTAGTGATTTACATAGGCTTTGAATAAAACTTGCCTGTTGGTAGACCAAGTGTGAAATATCTTCCTTGGCTTGGCTTGAACTGGATAATACGATTACAGATGTATTTTGCTGCCCATTCACTAGCCTGATCATAATCTTCAAGTATTACTAGCCTCATTATGGCAGTGAGGAGCTTCAATGATAAATAAACTTAAACCTGCAGAAAACGTCAAAGTTTTAAAAATAAGCACCATATGAACAGCTGTAAAACTCTTAGATTACAGAAGAGAGAAAAAATGACCTTTTATACTGATGACGGATAGTGCTAAGTAAAAGATATTTTACTTGCATAAGTACATTGCAGTCTTGGAGCCTAGTTCAAGCTGGACTGTTGGACAAAAGCTAAAGAATCCAAGTAATAGATTACAGTCAGAATAATTATTCAAATTCACAAATGAATTTAAAGTAACTTGTAGGAAAAAGCTAAAACAAGATGAGAACAAGTAATTTTGAACTTCAGTCTTTTAATTAGCTGTTACTGTTAGAAAAGAGGATACACCCTGCCTGAAATAAAAGCACATAAAAAAAGTAAACAGAGACTAACTCCTGTAGTTATATCAACTATTAAGATTCATATCTAGAAGACAAGTTTGGCTGTTAAAAGTACAAGAGCTTCTCTTGCACTAAAGTAGAACTCATTTTTCCATAAGTTTCTGCTTAACAGCATCAAGTAATTATTGGAAAGACTGAAGCTCTCTAGCCCTTCTCTTCTCTGGTCTGAGTGTGCTTGGCATTAGCCAGAAAACACCACAGCTATCAGAAGCCTAAGGTGAGCTAAGTATCAAACCACCACTACTCTTAGCTGACCCAAAATGAGAGGCCAGTTTTTAAAGAAATAGGAATTATTCTACAAGCACTTAACATGTTAATATCTGTTCTCTGCAGTACAGGAGGAAGGAAATGACCACCACCTTTTGCTGGCTGTGCAGCTTCCTCTCACGGGACAGTAAAATCGCGACAAGTCAAACTCAACTTTGCAGGGGAAATGCTATTCCACAGGTACCGAAAACGTTAACCCATTTCTTCCAGGAGGGCACAAAAAGGGGCCCTCGGAAGACGATCCCGCGGCTGCGGGTCAGCTCACAGAGACCCACCCAGAGAGCACCGACGATCCCCCAGAGACAGAGAAGCGAACAGTGCTCGTGGCCTCCCCCTCCCCACCGCCCCGGAGCTTGCGGGCAGCGCCCCACAGCTAACAGCGGGGGCCCAGCCTCGCCCCGCCGCCAAGCACAACCCTGCCCGGCTCCGCTTACCCCCAGGAGAGCCCGAAGCAGCGACAGGCGGAACCAGAGCGGCGCAGACCGGCACTGACAGGACAGGTGCATCCACCCGCCAAAGCGCCCCGCTGCACCCCGCGCGCAACCCGGAAGCGCCTGGCCAGAGCCGGAAATAGCCTCGCAGGGCGTGGTGCCCCGCATGCGTGGAGGACAGTGGCCCTCTCTGGGCGAGGTTTTTGGAGGCAATAGGGGTTGTGCTTTGGGAGGGTTGCAAGGTATATTCATGTTTGTTTCTGGTGCCCTTTGTAGGGGTAGAGCATGAGTGAATGTGGTGCCTGTCCTTGGAGAGAGTCTAGGAAGCTGTTGGGGGTAGGGGCTGCAGCAAAAGTGCTAAAAGTGCTATCAGTGTCTTATGGACTGAGCAAGAGCACGGCCTTCAGGTGAGGCCTTTCTTTGGGGGTTGTGTTTTGGGGGAAGCAGGTGGCAGAGTGAGATATTCCTGAGAAAAACTCCCCTTTAACTTAAGCGTTTGCTTGAAGCATCTATTAAAAAAAAGGGCTATTTATAGTTACTGCATAAACAATAGATAGGGTATCAGCTGCTTTCTCTTCTTTAAAAACAGTAATTTTATAGCTACGATCTACAGCTATGGTATGATAGATCTTGCTGTTTGGGAAAGGGTTAATACTCTTAAGAGATGCATCTTCAGAACTGAG